GTATCAGCTGCAGCAGCAGCAATAGCGGCAGCTAGCCGAAGCTAGTTATGCTTTGCTGCCGCTGCTGCTGCTGCCGCTGCTGCTGCTGCTGCAGGAGCAGCAGCTCTTTTTGGCTTCTATTAATGAGGCACTAGAGGCAGCAATGAAGGAGAGCGTGGGCGTGGACAGCGCCAGAGCATTCAATCGAAGTAAGGGTTTAGGGTTTAGGGTTTAGGGTTTAGGGTTTACGGGTGAACAAGACAGATACACAAGCCTAGCGAGAGACACGAGGAGGCCAAAGAGCCACAGCAGCCCGTGAACACCCTGAGGGTTTAGGGTTTAGGGTTTAGGGTTTAGGGTTTAGGGTTTAGGTTGTTTGTTCTGTTGTTCAGCTCTTGGGGTGCTTCGAAGTATATCCGCAGTGGAGCCGCTGCTTCCTTCTCTGGCTCAGCTTTTTGCCACTCAGGCATCTAAACCCTAAACCCTAAACCCTAAACCCCAAACCCTAAACCCTAAACCCTGAATTCTGAATTCTGGGTCCTGTAAGCGCTTCGTTTCTTGGATTCCGGTTGTGGTGTTTTCTCTTTTGCTGCCGCTTCCTTGTTGGCTTGTTGCTGCTGCTGTTGCTGTTGCTTCTACCTCTGCTGCTGCTGCTGCTGCTGCTGCTGCCGCTGTTCTTCTGGCTCCTTGTTGTCTCCTCATTCGTTCCGTTTCTTCCGGCTGCCTCTTTTCTTGCTTCTCACATTTGTGCTGCCAAAGCCATTCTTCGCTGCTGCTGCTGCTGCTGCTGCTGCTGCTGCAGCTGCCGGCCTACCAGCATTTGCCCCACCGGGCCTCGCTGCTGCTGCAGCTGGGAGACGCAGTGCTGCAGAATCCCCACACGCCTATACACGCCTACGTACGCTTCTTCTTGCTGCTGCTGCTGCTGCTGCTGGCACTGTGGTTGCTGCTGATGCTGATTCTCTGGCTGCTGCTGCTGCTGCTGCTTTCCCCGTTTCTCGGGCTGCTGTTACTGCTGCTGCTGCTGCACAGTAGCGGCAAGAGCATCTTCTCGCCGATTCTGTCGCTGCCGCTGCCGTTGCTGCTGTTCGTGTTGCTGCTGCTGCTTCTGTCATGAGCTGCTGCTGCTGCTGCTGCTGCTGCTGCTCTGTTTCAGGTGCACCAATTCGCGCTGCCTCTAATGGACTGTCTCCTCGCGCCGCTGCCGCAGCCGCCGTCTTTGTCGCTGTCTGCTGCAGCAGGTGCAGCAGCAGCAAGTGGGGGCGCGGGGACAGCAGCAGCAGCAGAGGCAGCAGCAGGTGCAGCAGCAGCAGCAGCAGCAGGGGAGGGGCTGTGCATGGCGTTCACGCCGCAGCAGCTGCGGCTGCGGCGGAAAGCAGCAGCAGTTCTTGCTGCTCTTTTTGTGCGGGCGAGGCAGCAGCGGGAAGCTTTAGATGCTGTTGAAGAAGCTGCTGCGCTGCAGCTGCTGCGCAGCTTAGTGCATCCCAGCAGCAGCATTGAAACAGCTTTAGGAGCAGCAATTGGCATCCGGGCCCTCGGCCGCAAGGCCGTGCTGCTGCTGCTGCTGCCGCATGCGTCTTTGCTGCTGCATGCACTCGAGCGCGGCCAGGAGCTCGCAGAGACCCAGAGGCTAGCGGTGCGCTGCTGCTGCTGCTGCTGCTGCTGCTTCTAGTGTCCGTGCTTCTGCTGCTGCTGCTGCTGCAGCAGCAGCTTCACCTTCAACTGCTGCTATCCTAGTTCCTACACGCACATGACAGCTGCTTTTTTAGGAGCAACACCAAAAGCAGCAACGCCAGAAGCAGCAACACCAGCAGCAACACCAGCAGCAGCAACCCAAGCAGCAGCAGCAGCAGCAGCAGCAGCAGGAGTTGCGTGTGTTTGTTTGCATCTCTGTTCCAGATATCTGCGAAGCTCGTGCAGAGCCACTCAGATGCGGCCAAAAGCAGTTTGCTGCTGCTGCAGCAGCAAGTCCTTGACCACAGGGAGTTGCTAACGCGTTTGCTGCAAGACGAGCTCCTGGTACGCCGCTGCTGCTGCTGCTGTTGCTGCTGCTGCTGCTGCTGCTGATCCTTTGTTCCTTGCCAGCAAATTTTCCCTTGCTGCACTTTTCTCTGCGTAGTTGCTGCCACGGAAGGTTTGGAGGTGCTGCAGTCGCCACTCCTGCTGCTACTTGTGCTGCTGCTGGGCCTCCTGCAGCTATTGCTGCTGCCGCTTTTGCTGCTGCTACTCTTGCTGCAGCAGTTGCTGCTGCTGCTGCTGCTGCTGCTGTGTGGCTCGCTGCAGGATGCCGCCTTCACTGAACTGTCTGAGCAGCTTCTTGAGAAAGAACTTCACGCCTCAGACGGGCCGGAAGGTTAGCGATGCAGCAGCAGCTGCTGCTGCCCCTTGCTGCTGCTGCTGTTGCGTTTTGGGCTGCTGCTGCTGTTGCTACTGCGTTCCGGGCTGCTGCTGCTGCTGCTGCGTTCCGGGCTGCCGCTGCTGCTGCTGCTGCTGCGCTGCGGGCTGCAGCTGATGCTGCTGCTGCTGCTGCTGCTGCGCTTTGTCTTGCGGTGTACGTACAGCTGCGCTGGGCCACATCTTCGCAGTACTTGAGGATGCTGAGGAAGGCCTCAGAGATTCTTATATTCCAGTTGTTGCTGCAGCACTGCGCAGAGCAGCAGCAGCAGCAGCTGCTGCTGCTGCTGTGCGCGAAGCGTCGGCGCGCTGCGCCCTACTGACGCACGGAGAGCGGCAGCGGATCCGACAGCAGCAGCAGGGCTTCAAACAGCAGCAGCAGCAGCAAGGGCAGCAGCAGCAGCAGCAGCAGCAGGAGCTGCGAAGGCAAAAAGAGGTTAAAGCCTTTGTAGAAAAAATAGTGGCGCTGCTCACCAAAATGAAGCAGCAGGCGCAGATGCAGCAGGAACACGATCAGCAGCACCAGCTGTTCACGCAGCCGCAGCAGCAGCAGCAGCAGCAGCAGCAGCAGGCCTCCTTCTCTTCCCTAGGGGACATATCACGGTGCATGGGCAGCGCCTTGCTGGAGATGGTTGTCTAAAGCCCCTCAGGGCCCATTGGGGGCCCCCAAGGCAGCCAAAAAGCCCCTAAAGGGCCCGTCTTGGGGGCCCCCCAGGGGGCCCCAAGGGGTCGCCAAGGGGCCCCTAGGGGGCCCCCAAGGGGGCCCCAGGGGAGCCCCAAGGGGGCCCCAGGGCAGCCCCAAAAGGGCCCTAAGTGGGTCTCAATGGGGCCCCAAGAAGGCCTCAAGGGGGCCCCAGGGGGGCCCCAAAGTGTCTTCTAGGGGTTCACCCCGCGGGGGGCCCCCAGGGGCCCCCTAGGGGCCCCCCTCGGGGGGCCCCCCTGCAAGACCCTCTAGGGAAGCCCATACGAGGGACTTCCCCGAATGTGGGGCAGATCTGGGGGGCTGTGGGGGCCCCTTGGGGGGCCCCCTAGCTAAGGGGGTACTGTGGGGAGGAATATTATTTCTTAAGGTACTTCTAAGGAATTTAACATTATTTAAAAGCCTTTAGTCCATCCCTAAATGCTAAAGGAAAGGAGAGGGCCCCCCGTGGGCCCGGGAGCCCCCCTTTAGGACTTGGGGGCCCCCTAGAAGCCCCCTGGGGGCCCCCTGGGGGCCCCCTGTGCTGCTGGACTATTAGCGGCCCCAGCTGCTTCAGCCCCCCTCACTGCGCATGCATGCAGAGCTGTAGATACACCCGGCCCTCTCTATAGGGGCCCCTAAGGGGGCCCCCCATATGGGGGCCCCCTTAGGGGCCTCCATATGGGGGGGCCCATATGGCCCCCATATGGGGACCCCTCTAGGGGCCCCCATAGAGAAAGAAGTCTAGGGGGGCCCTCAAAAGGGCTTTTGGGGGCCCCCAGGCGTTGCTGCACTTCGCACTCCCACAGGTGAACCCCGCAGGAAGCTCCCGGGCTTTTGGGGGCCCTTATATGGGGCCCCTGGGCATCTGGGGGCCCCCATTGGGGGCCCCTAGGCATCTGGGGGCCCCCATAGGAGGCCCCCACGGCTCCGGGGGCCCCCGTATGGGGCCTCCCCCGTATGGGGCCCCCCAGGCCCGGGGGGCCCCCATGGGGGCCCTTAGGGGCCCCCGGGTGGCTGGGTGTTTCGTGAGTTTGTGTTTTGCTGCATTTCTGGGGGGCTGGGGGGCCCCTTGCTGCGACTAATTAGCTGCCAGTTTTACATTTGGTACCCTCTTGGGCCCCCCTGCTGCTGCGGGTGGCCAGGGGAGGCCTGGGTTTTCTTTTGGGTCTTATTTGCTGCTAGTTTTCTTATAATGGGCAGTTTGCTGCT